ATACCCCACCTTCCTCTTCACCATTAAGCGTCTCAAATAATGGGCCTATTGCGCAGCAATCTGCATCTACCTTTACCCTTCAAAAAAGAGTTCATATTGCTAATTCCTCTTCAGATAAAGACCTTAATAAGTCATCTGTTCCCATTGACTTTAAAACATAAGCAATTATTAAAGAACAAGCCTCTATCATCACTGAATAATAAAAGTAATTACAGATCATTAATGCCTAAATACTTGAAATTATGGCTCAGATGTAAAAACCATCCAGTTCCTCCCCACAATAATTTCACCCATTACCTAACCCACCACCATAATTAATAATAATACAAATATCGATAAAAATAATAATTACAAAAATAAATATATAGAACATTTCACCAACAATTAAACTAATTTAAAAAACACATTTACTATATTTTTTGCTACCCATAATGTAAATTCACTTCAATGTTTAATCAAAAACTAATTAATTAACGATACATTTACAGATCTTAATACGGATTTCGTAGGTCTTACTGAAACTTGACACAAGTCTGACCAATCCTTTAGTTATATATATGACCCTGATTACACTTCTTTTTAGAGTACCCACCTTAACTCACATGCTGAAATTAGCATTCTCGTTAAAAAATCCTGGGCTGTTTACTTCCAAAAAGCCTATCTGAATAATGATCAATTTATCTACATAGACTTATACTTATCTGGACATACCAAACTGCGCATCTTCTGTGTCTATTTATATGCTTCAACTAAATCTGATATCAAGACAGAATGACTCAACCTACACAAATTAATCATCAAATATATTTATAACAGCATCAAAGCGGATTTCAGGACTGTCATCCTAGAAGACTTCAACGCAAATCTTAATACCTACTGGTTACAAGTTAACAATGGCAAAGTCCTACACTGGTAAATAGACTTTTACAAATGGCTCTTCACATTGAACTTCCTAGACCTTTATGACGTTTGTCATGATACACCCCAACCCACATACCACTCAGACTCACGTAGTTCAAGAATTGACACCATTTTTGTCTCACCCAACTTCACTTCAGAATTTCTTTATTCATACTTAGATCAGCCAATCCTCTACTCTTCTGACCATAAGATCATTTTTGTGATATTTGCTGATTGTCATACGCAATCAAATGCTTGAGATCGTATCTTACAAAATAAACGATAAGTTTCTAATTTAAGAGCTATAAACCTGTCTAAATGGAATAAATTTGCAGCACACACCAATTGTCACTATAGATATCACAACCTGGATCGCCTCATAAACCTTTTCACTAACAGATGCAATATGAACACCCTATGGATAAATATTAAAGCTGCCATCCTAGCTGCCAACAGATGTGTTATACCTTAAGTTTGAATTTTCCCACAACAAAGAGATAAACAACCTTTTGATCAGCCCTCCTCTTTTATTGCAGCCAGAAAAGTTGGCTCATTTTTGCTCTATTTTAAAGACTCACTTTACGAATAAACCATTGGCTTGAACCCCTTGAATGGTCCTATATCAAGGATAATATGAAAAAACTGATCGCAGAATTAAAACTTTCTACGTATTCTTTTTCTCACTCTCTGCGAATCGATAATATCAATGATGTCAAATTAAAGATTAAGGATCTTCACAAATCTTTATATTAAATAAATTGATGTTCGATTGGAACAATAGGATATTATTATTCCTTAAGAACAATGGCATTATCGTTCCTTAGGGACGATGGTTTTATCGTTCCTTAGGGATGATGATTTTATCGTTCCTTAGGGATAATGATTTTATCATTCCTAAAAATACGATGGTATTATCATTCCAATGAACTGAACTTTCAGATTAAACTGATTTGCTAAAATAATATTGATTTAATGTAATATTTGAGTTTTTTCTGGTATATAGAAATATTTATATAAATAAGCTTAATTTTTTAACTTTTTAAAAAATAATTTTAATCATTTCCAAATTTTCTCTTTTTACATTTCACCAAAAATCCTGAAAAAAATCATCTCAAGAACAAAAAGAACTAAGTTGAATTTAGTCAATTTTCGCCTTTAACTATCAAATCAGACGAAAATTAAGTTGAATTTTAATCAATTTTTCTGATTATTTTTACTTTTTATAATAGAAACATACTTTCAACCATCAAATCGGACGAAACTTAAATTGAATTTTTCTGATTTTTTGCTTTTTATAATAGAAACATGCTTTTAACCATCAAATTGGACGAAACTTAAGTTGAATTTTTCTGATTTTTTTTTATTTTTTATAATAGAAACTTGCCTTTAATCATCAAATTAGACAAAACTTAAGTTGAATTTTTCTGATTTTTTTGCTTTTTATAATAGAAAAATGCCTCTAATCATCAAAATTGAATGAAACTTAAGTTGAATTTTAGTTAAATTTTCTGATTTTTTTTACTTTTTATAATAGAAACATGCCTTCAACCATTAAATCAGACGAAACTTAAGTTAAATTTTTCTGATTTTTTTGCTCTTTATAATAGAAACTTGTCTTCAACTATCAAATCAGATGAAAATTATGTTGAATTTTAGTTAATTTTTCTGATTTTTTTTACTTTTTATAATAGAAACATGCCTTTAACTATTAAATCGGACGAAAATTATGTTGAATTTTAATCAATTTTTCTGATTTTTTTATTTTTTATAATAAAAACATACTTTAAACCATTAAATTAAATGAAACTTAAGTTGAATTTTTCTGATTTTTTTGCTTTTTATAATAGAAACATGCCTTTAACCATCAAAATCAGATGAAACTTAAGTTGAATTTTAGTCAATTTTTTCTGATTTTTTTACTTTTTATAATATAAACATGCTTTTAACCATCAAATCAGACGAAACTTAAATTGAATTTTTCTGATTTTTTTTACTTTTTATAATATAAACATGCTTTCAACTATCAAATCAAACGAAAATTAAGTTGAATTTTTCTGATTTTTTTACTTTTTATAATAGAAACATATCTTCAACCATCAAAATCAGACGAAATTTAGATTGAATTTTTGTGATTTTTCTGATTTTTTATTCTTTTTTTTCAAAAATGGCAATATTACTATAATGAATATTTAGGATGATTTAAGGGGATTTTAGGAGGAAAATGGATTATATTTTTATTATTTTATATGATTTTTTCATTTTTTACTTATATTTTTTAGATAGGAAATTAATTAATAGATTTTGATAATATCTATTGTTATATTTTGCGAATTATATTAGGTTTTTATTATTAATAAAATTATAATATTTAATAAATTTAATAAATATTATATATCGATTTTATATACTTATTTGACTAAATTGGTACCAAATTAAGGCCAATTTTAGGCTGATTTATGGTTATTTAAATTTTAAATTGATGCCAAATGATGCTGAATTGAGATCAATTTTAGGCTAATTTATAGTTATTTAAGTTCTGAATTGATGCCAAATGATGCTGCATTGAGGTTAATTTTAAGCCAATTTATGTTATTTAAGTTTCAAATTAATGCTGAATGATGCTAAATTAAGGTCAATTTTAGGCTGATTTATGGTTAAATTTAATCTAAATGACTATGTCTGATTGGAGTCGATTGGCATCTATTGACATCTGAAGTATTACTGAATTGAGGCCAGTTTTAAGCTGATTTATAGTTGAATTTAAATTCTGAATGGCCATGTCCAATTGGGATCGATCGATGTCTATTGGCACCTATTTATACTGATTGGAAAACATGACAAATCAGCTATAAATAATATCAAAATCAGCCTAAAATTAGCTATCTGATTTTTAGCTGATTTGGACTATTTCAACTAGTATATTGACTAATTAGCTTCTTATAATATTGGTGAGAATATTTTAAACTTATCTTCGTCTGCAAAACTTGAATAATAGTTAAAATATCAAGATTAAAGAAGAAACTTAGTTAATGCTTTAAAAAGAGCTATCATTAAAGAAACCAATAATGTTGATCTAGATAACGAATATATAAGTGATAATTAAAGCTTCGAATAGTTCAGATTAATCCAAAAATTTTTGATTCAGATCAACTTCAGTTCAGTTTCAGATTGCTAAAATTTTAATCCGAAAATTTTCAATTCAGTTCGAATTTTTTTCAGATTATAAATCTAATCTGAACTGAAAAAAATCTGAAATGAACTGAAAATTTCAGATTAATCCAAAATTTCAGATTGTTTGGAATGATGAAATTATCATTCTAAATGAATGATAAAAGAAACATTTGATTGGAATAATAAAATTATCATTCCAAATGAATGATAAAAGAAACGTTCAATTGGAATGATGAAATTATCATTCTAAACAAATGATAAAAAGATTATTTGATTGAAATGATTAAATTATCATTTCAAACGAACGATAAAAGGATTATTTGATTAGAATGATTAAATTATTATTTCAAACGAACGATAAAAGAATCATTCATTTGGAACGATTGAAGTTATTGTTCTAAATGAATGATAAGAAAATCATTCATTTAGAATGATTAAAGTAATCATTTCAAACGAATAATAAGAAAATTGTTTATTTGGAATGATTGAAATTATTGTTTCAAACGAACGATAAGAAAATCATTCATTTGGAACAATTAAAGTTATTGTTCTAAACAAACGATAAGAAAATCGTTCGATTGGAATGATCAAATCATCATTTTAAATAAACGATAAAAAAATCATTCGATTGGAATGATTAAATTATCATTCTAAATGAATGATAAAAAAATTGTTCATTTGGAATAATTGAAGTTATCGTTTTAAACGAACAATAAGAAATTGTTCAATTGGAACGATTAAATTATCATTCCAAAAAAATGATAAAAGGATTGTTCTAAATGATCTGAAATTTCAGATTAATCTGAAATTTTCAGTTCAGTTTCAGATTGGCCTATAATTCAGATTGAACTGAACCATTCAAAGCATTAGTGACAATAATGATACTCTTATAACTGCGGTCAGATGTGCGATTTAAATTCATCATAGCAATGTGTAAGCTATTCTTGAATCTGGTACAGCTATCAGTATTATTACAAGTAGTTTAGTCAAATGACTAAAATTAAAGATTGATGAATCATCAAAAATAATCATCAATACTGCCAATGGAAAAAGAGCTAGAGCTTTAGGAAAGATCAATACTGTTAAAATGTCTATTGGATCTATTTGTATGCCGATAACTCTACAAGTTATTGGATCTCCTAATAAAAACTTGCTATTGGGAACTGATTAGTTTAAAAGAACTAAAGCCATTCTTGACTTTGATAAAAGAAAAGTAAAGTTCAGATATCTTACGAAATCTGCCTCTGTTTTAATTACTTTTTATGACAGTTCTTCTGTTGAATTAGATAAAGAATCTGATATATCTATGGATGAACTAATTGATGTAATTAAAGATCTAACTTACAATGATCAATATGAAGATAAAGATCTTGACAAATGAGATATCTTTTATTTTAATAGTGAAGAAGACTTCTCTGATGAAAAAAATTTATTTGATTTCAATGAAAATGAGCTATTTGCTAACTCTTGGGATAACAATCCAGCAGTATTCTTAGCTCAAACTGAACAGCCAAAGCCTCAAAATAATAAATGGAGTATCCAAAAAGACTTACATGTTGGACCCTTGAATGCTAATCAATAAGAAATTTTTAAGCAATTCATTGATGAAAATAAAGATATCTGTGCCTTTAGTCAAATAAAAATTGGTCATACAACTTTGTTTCAACATCAAATTCCTACAGGAGATCATAAACCAATTGCTGTCCTTGCATACCGTTTAAAGGATCCATCTAAATTGAAATTTCTCTAAGAAGAAATTAAACAAATGGAAGAAAATGATATTATCCAAAAGTCAAAAAGCCCTTGGACTTCCTAATCATTATTGTATCTAAGAAAACTAAAGATGTATGCATCTGTATTGATTATAGAAAACTTAATACTATAACCAAAAGAGATGCTTATTCACTTTCACTCATTAACGACTTACTTGAGAAATTTAGAAATGCAAGTTAGTTTTCTATACTTGATCTTACTAGTGAATATTGATAAGTAGAAATAGAAGAGAGTGATTATGAGAAAACTGCTTTTATCTGCCTATATGGTTTGTACTTATTTAAAAGAATGCCTTTTGGATTAAAAAATGCTTCTGAAACCTTTTAACACTTAATAAATTTGTCTTACAAGAATACCTCTATAAATTTGTAGCAGTATATTTAAATGATATCATCATCTACTCAAAAATATATAAAAAACATTTACAACATTTGCAAATGGTATTTAAAGCAATCAAAAAGGTAAATTTAATGATTAAATTAAAAAGGTGTCAATTTTGCCTTCCAAATATTCCGTTTCTTAGACACAGGGTAGGAAGAAGTGGTTTGTAACCAGATCCTGAAAAAATTTGAAAAATCAAAGAACTTCTAGTACCTAAAGGATTAACTGAATTAAGAGCAACTCTTGGATTGTTCTCATATTATCGAAATTTTATAAAAGGATTCTCTCAAATTGCTAAACCAATAATAACCTTACTAAAGAAGAATGCCCTTATATTTAAACAAACGACCAACAAAAAGCTTTTGATGAATTAAAAGAGAAACTGATTATATTACCAATCCTTCAATATTCTAATTTCTCTAAAGAATTCATACTTTATACCGGTGCTTCAGGAGTAAGACTTGAAGCAGTATTATCTCAATTTGATGAAAATAAAAATGAATATGTTATTGCATATGCGAGCAAAAGCATGAACAAAGCTGAGCAAAATTATCAATTATAGACCAAGAATGTTTAGCAGTAGTTTAGGCTATTAGGAATTTTCATCATTATCTTAGCTCTAAATCTTTCACCATCGTAACTGATCACTCTGCCCTTAAATGGTTGAGAACTTTTGAAAATACCAAAAGGATAACGTGCATAATAGATAATGGAGTTGCAACAATATGACTTTAATATTTAACACAGACCTGAAAAAAATAATGCTAACACTGATGTATTATCTTGATTAATCCCTGAAAAAGAACAAGATAATTTCTCAAAAGAAGTTTTTATACTTACAACAAATAAAAATGACGATGAAGAAATAGAATGGCATATTTCTTTTGAAAATAATAAACCTTTATCAGAATGATCACAAGAAGAAATAGAGAATTGATGTCACAATACTCTCATACACCTTTAATTACTGTAGAATATCAACGTCCTAAGAATAAATTGAAAGATATTTTTAAAGAAAATATCAAGATTAAGCAAGTTATAGCTAATCAACTAATAACTAAAGGAGGATCATAATGTAACTATAGTTGTGACATTGAAAATCACCATATTCATACATATTGCAAAGCTTATAAAAGAAAATTTGCTATATAGAACGATCAAACATCATTGTATCATTGGATTTGATTCAAAACAAATTCAACTGGATATGAATCCCAATTATTTAATTAATAACCTTTGGTGGAATAAACCAATCTTAGTTCAATAAGAAAACCTTTACTCTCAACTTTATTATATGCTTGAAAACCCTAAACGTCTTCTTGTTTCTCACATTTAATATTTTAATTCATACCCATATTTATTTAAGAAATATTAGTAATAATTATTTAGAGTGAAAGCAAAAGTATTTACATTGTGATAGGCAGCTCAAATATCATGGAATTCAATCAATATAATAATTTATTTGTTTATATAACCTTAAATCAATTACCCATATCTTTTAACTCAAATGAAATTGCAAAATTAAAAAGACAATCAAAATTTTAATTTAGTTTTACTCAATTTCTTATATAAAAAGCAAAGATAAAGAAATGCCTCTGAACAGTTTCTAAGGGTCATCAAAGAAACTGAACTAGATGTAATCCTTTACATGATATATAATAATTCAACAGTTGGATATTTTTCTACTGATATCATGTTTAAAAAGTTCGTACTAGATATTATTAGCTTCAAATGTATGAAAGTATCAGAAAATATGTTCAATCATGTGATACTTGCCAACGACGAGAAAGACTTAAAATGAAGAATGAATTACATCCTATTCCAGTTGATTCACTGTTTTATAAAATTAGAATAGATTTTGTTAGACCTTTATCATGAATTAGTAGAGGAAATAAATATATTATTATTGTCATGGATTATTTAACAAAATGGCCAGAAGCTAAAGCAGTTAAGGATGCCACTGCTAAAAATGTCATCAAGTTCTTATATGAGGATATTATTTGCCAATATGAATATTCAACTAAGATCTTATCAGATAGGGATCTTATTTTAATAATCAATTAGTTACAAAATTGATGAAACAATTTCACATTCGTCATAATCTATTTACTCTTTATCATCCTAGATTAAATATATTAGTAGAAAGATTCAATAGAACTCTATGTGAATCATTGGCAAAATTAGCTGAAAGATCTACTCAATAGGACCAATATATTTCTCCTATTCTATTTGCTTATCATACAAGCAAACAATCAGTCACAAAAATTGAACCCTTTTATTTAGTTTATGAATAAAATGTAACATTACCTATTAACAATCCTAATAATCTTAATGACCTTTATACCAACCAGAATTTTACTATCTAAGAAAGAATTGATTATTTGATCAACAAATTATCCCTAGTGTGACTAGATGCAAAAGTATGAATACAATTTGCATAATAGCAATAAAAGAAGTATCATGAATACAAGAATCTCTGTTTCACATGAAATTAGAGATAAGGTTTTGTACTTTGAAGTTGTAAAAGATAAAACCCATTCTGGAAAATTGGATTAAAAATGAAAAAGCTCCTATTATATCTATCAAATTTTACTAAATAGCTCTTACAAGATAAGAGAATTAGATGGTTGTATACTTTATAGTCCAGTAAATGAAGATCTTTTGAAAATATATAAGACCCTTCTTTTTAGAATTAGATTTTTTTATTATTATTTTATTTTTATTATTATTATTATTATTATAAAATAACTTTATATCGAAGATTTGAACAAAACTTTACCTGAAGAAGTAATTCCTGCTATACCTCTATATTCAAATGGAGTGGATCTACAAAAGAAATTTCAAATGACATATTGAATGTTATTAAGAGCTTCATGAATGAAAGATTGGACTCTTACCTTGATAAATGCTTATTACTTAGAAAAACTTTTAGAAACAGAAACTTTTTCACCAATACAACGAAGTCAATTAAGAAGACTTATCATTAAATATTATAGTTCTGTCTCAATACGTGTTTATTACTTCTATGAAATGCTAGGTGTAGATCAAATTCAACGAGTGAAACATATATCATTAAAGAACCTTTATCAACTCTCAAGTCATATATACTGATCTCTAGTAAATGAAGCTATGGATATTTGAGCAGGAGCTCAAAATTTAGAAGGGGAGGATTAAAGCTGTAATCTGTGACTGCGCTAAAATAAAATCATGTGATCTAAATGATCAATATAGTTGATGAAGTTGACAAAGTTGACAAAGTTGCTAAAGTTGTCAACAATGATCAAGTGGATATATTAGATATATGAATTATATTTATTGTATTTATTAATTATATCTTATTTATTATATATATTATATTTATCATAGTTATATTATTTGTTCTCTTTATTATATTTGTTATAGTTGATTTTATATTATTTTATTATAAATATCTTGTATTTTTCCTTGAGTTAAAAAGTAACTCAAGTTGAGGTTTTAGAATAAACTAAGAGTTTAATAAAGAAATTGTTAAATTTATTTACTATTACCTTTTGTCGTGTCTTCATATAGGCGTAATTGTGATATTGTCTTATATTTAATTTGATGAATTGAATTAAAAGTTTATCATTTAAGTTTACAGATACCAAGCCAATAGGATATATTAGAAAAGTGTGACTTATGAGCCTGTATTAATGCACTTTCAACTCACATACCCATATCATTTGTGAAGCAAATCCAGATATCTTCTGGAATCCATTCAGTAAGTGCATTCTTCCATGATGTTGTAGGTATAGCCTCACAGAATTCTTATAATTGGGTCATATCATCTTTCATTCACATGCATAATTTTAGTGCCTTAAGTTTAGGATCATAAGCATGATAATCATTTATACATCAGATTACTTCATCAGTCTACTCAGTAAAAAATTTATGTAGATCTTCTTTATCACTCCATGGTATAAGTTGGCCTAGATCACTACACATAATATTCTGACATCCACAACTTTCAGCATATGACAATAATTTTTGCAAAACCTT